GGAACACCACAAACTGCTACTGAGTTATAGAAATCGATGACAAGCTTCGGAGGCTTCAAGGTTTTCTCTGGATAAGTGCTAATGGTAGCATTTCATGTAAGACTTGGCTGCTTTGAGAATTTTCACTTGTTTGAATAGCCAAAGAACAGATGAACCCTTTGCGAAGTGCTAGAACAGAAACTTTGATTGTATTTCCAATTGAGCGTTTGAGTAATTGAAGCTTTCACCAGCTGGTAAAGTTAGTCTAGCCTAGAATGCCTGTTCCTACTTCAAAAAATAAATAATGCTTTACCATATAAAGCATTGAACATGTAAAATCTGCCTTACATGTAAAATCTGTTTGAGACATCAGACTGCAAGGTCTTCAAGGCAGGGACCTTGCCTGCCTTGATATTTGTACAGCATCTAGCACATTGTGTGTATGAATGGATACTAATGAACATAGTAGAGAGATGTATGGTATCTATCTCATCTGGGAAACAGAGTAGTAGAAGTATTCACTCTCGTCTCTAGCACTCATTTCCTTAAGCTGTAGTTTATACATCCTTCTTTCTCTCTTCATAACTTCATCTGAGAAGCCTTATGTTCTCCTTCCTTCTGTGCGCTTCACAAATTGTGTGTCTTTCAGGGTTGTAGTTCAGAATGAGAGGCGAGAAGAGTGGACGTCATTGCTTGTGACCATTAAAAAACTTTTTATTCAGTACCCAGTGCTAGTGCGACTGGAACATGCAGGTAGGAAATCTTCCATAGACTTTTTTTCTTTCTTAATGAAACTTACCTATAAAACTTCTAGCTCTTGGTCTAGCAATACTCTACATTGAGGTTGCCTGTTTCAATGCTTGTGCCATAAATGGCATTCTTGTTGCCTCCCTGTTTCTTGTGCATTTGTCTGACATGACTTAGGAATCAGACATTCTGATTTTGCATAGGGGAGAGGCATAGAATAACTCCAAAGCAGAGGAAATGTCCATTTGTCTGCATATATTAATTGTTTTTCTTTTAATCTCTTGTCCAGATGGCTTTCCCCAAGGATATAATTCTACCTCAGCACAAGGGAACTACCTGGAGGCCATAAATCTTTCATTTAATGGTGAGTAGTGAAGAATAAATTGGTGCAATACATAAAGAGGCAGGATCTTAGAAATCTAGGGTGTGTCTAGACTACAGAGTTTTGTCGACAAAAGTCCACTTTTGTCGACAAAACTATACCTGTGTCTATACTGCCTCTGAGTTCTATCAACATAATGTCGACAGAACTCAGCAGTTTTGTCGATGGCTGTAAACCTCATTCTACGAGGAATAACACCTTTTGTCGACAGAGTTCTGTCAACACTAGGAGTTATTGCATCTACACTGTCCTTTGCATCTACACTGCCATGTTGACAAAGTGGCTTGCTTTATCGACAGAACTGGATGTAGTCTAGACACTCTTTGTTGCCAGTATTTGTCAACAAAATTTCTGTCAACAAAAGCTTGTAGTCTAGACATACCCTTACAGTCTATAAACTTCTGTGGAGTGCTGTTGTCTGTGAAAACGGAGGGGAAGGCAGCTGTAACTTCCTTCATTCAGTAACTCCTCTGTATCTGTCAGTGAGAACTGGTATTAAAGATGACACATTTGAAGTTGGGCCGTTCAGGTTCTTGGAACCAACTGCAAAGCTTACATATTGAGACAAAGGAAAATAAAATACTTATCTGGGGGTTCCTATACATCAGAATCTCCAGAAACTATAAGGCAGTGGCTTTATTTTTGTGTAGAGAGGCATACCATATTATTTGATCCTGTTGCTCACTGCCTTTGACATCTTTTCTAAGTGACAATAAAGCAAACACTAGCTGATGGGAAAGGCACCCGTGTATATGTACACATATGCCTTTGTCCTCCTTCCTATCTCTACTGCCAGTCCACCATGCCTTTCAGAATCAGGGGGAACACATTATTGGTCAGGGCTTTATAGGCACTAACTAGATGTACTCCTGTGTTTGAGGAAGATTCCTTTCTAGTACCACCAGTAATAAGTCATTTTTTTGAGCACTTATGAAATCTTTATCATAACTTTCTTTTAAAATATGTCTGTTCCTTGATTCTGATTTATCTCAGTGTTTGACAAGCATTATATAAACCGCAATTTTGACCGGACTGGACAGATGTCTGTGGTTATCACACCTGGAGTGGGTGTGTTTGAAGTGGACCGTCTCCTCATGATCCTGACCAAACAGCGTATGATAGACAATGGTAAAATAGTTTTTTTTTTTTTTTTTTAAACTAACTGGCAATGTTTTACAACTTCAGTGTACACAGACAGCTTAATTTCACCCAGGTCCATTGCCTTCCTTAGCTTTTCAAAAGCCACCATTAAATGGCCATGTGTCCATCTTGAAGGCAGTTAATAGACGCAACACTTATTTCCGTATTAAGTGCAATAGTGGGCAAATTTTTAAATGTGCTGGGCACTTGCTGTGCCGGTTAACTTCTCTGGGATTGGAGAATGCTTGGCACTTCTTAAAATCAGGCTTTGTGGTCCATTGCCTTCCTTAGCTTTTCAAAAGCCACCATTAAATGGCCATGTGTCCATCTTGAAGGCAGTTAATAGACGCAACACTTATTTCCGTATTAAGTGCAATAGTGGGCAAATTTTTAAATGTGCTGGGCACTTGCTGTGCCGGTTAACTTCTCTGGGATTGGAGAATGCTTGGCACTTCTTAAAATCAGGCTTTGTGGAACTTTCCCTTGAAAGACAATTTTATGAGATGCATTCGT